CTCATATCCATTTGGAACACACATCAGGGGTTTGCTAAACCTCTGACTCTCCCATAATACTGCTTACATGACAATGATCAACTTCTTAAATAGCCACCACAGAAAAATAATTAACAGCAAGTTTAGAAGAAAGAGAAATTGCTGCAGAAATCAACTCAAGGTTTGAAAGCAAATCATGTTTTGATACAAGGTCATACATGGAAGGACATCACGTGTTGCCAATGTCACATAGCTTGGAAGAATTATTTCAGAAAGCACAGGTGTGCATCAAGCAAGCAAAGCTATTTTAAGTGTCTGTGTTTGCTTTTCCAGTGCAGCATATTTCTATATTGCTTTCATCTGTCCATGTGGAGTCTGTAAGGAATCAGGAAGATTAAGCTGAACATATCATCAGTAACTGTAGGTACATAGAGACTTTAAAGAGTCTTATGATTTATATCCTTTGACTCACATTCTATGATAACATGAACTTTGTGAGTCTGAAGAATGCTTGTTAATGATGAAATTATTTTTGTTAAAATCAAATATGAGTAGAATTTTACTGAATCCTGGAAAGATTTTTAGAAATGAACACAGGTGCAAAATATCATTAAGAAAAGCTTAGTTTAATTTTTTTTGCTTTTTCAATTTTTTCTTTTTCTTCTTTTCATTTATTCCTTCCCCACCTTTTCAACTTAAAAGCTGAATATTCAAAAGGTATAATTTTCAAAAAGGTGCATAATCCAATTTCAGTCATTCTCTGTAAGTACCACATTAAGAAAAACCGAATCTTTGGCCAAGTAAGCTTTTAGGCATTGAGAGACTTTCCAATTTTGTTCCTCAATGTCTAAATCATTGTAGGCTTAGGGCTTTGATATTTCTCTAATGCAATTTCTTAGTTTGTACTTGGGATAATATTTTACTACTTCAGTAATAACAACATTATGAGAAGAAATATGTAAGAAAGATATTCCCATGCTGCATTAGTGAGAGGAATGTAACGTGGGCACCAGTGAGTCTGAGCTGTGAATCATTTCAGTGGAGGTAAGGTAAAGGATTCAAAGTTACGCAGGAAGTATCAAAAAATGTCTTCATAATGATGCTTGAATCTTCACACAGATTCATTTATTATGCTGCAATTCAAATCTTATGTAATAGCATTCAACTATTTAACATCCATTTGAATTACTGTACACTGTGACTAAAGTTATTAAATAAAACCAATAGCTTTGAATGGGATTTCTCACACTTTTCAAATTCTTACTGTTTCTATTTTATTAAAAAAAAGAAAGTTTTGGTTTGTTTCCTAAGCATTTTCATCTGCAGAATTGGTGAAAAAAAATTAACTTTCAAGGCACCTATGAAATGAGACAGAAAAGAAAAAGCAGACTGCTTTCTTCCCCTACTCTCCCCCTTCTTTGTACAGTTGTCCTTGGTAAGATGAAATAAGTGAAATGAATCATGTGCTGTCACCATTATTGAGCAAGTTCTGATGGCTTTAGCTCGAGGTTAAGGTTAGAAAATCTCTCTGAATATTACAGTTTGCTTTCTCTCTCCATATCTCAGACTGAAATGTCCTTTTTAAAATCTGTTTCTCTGTCCCTCCAAATCAATGCAATCAGACTTTGCTGAAAAATTGAAATATTATGTTCTTCAGCTTTTGCATGTTTCTCTGAAAGCAAACAAAAACTCTTGACATTTTCTTGAACTCCTCAAATATGATTCTGTATTATTTATCAAGAGATCCTGTCTCCACATCTGAAAGCAGACTCTGCTTGATCTTTTCCCTGGTGGTAGACTTTTTTGCTGATTAGTATTACTGTACTATTATCATAATAATACTACTTTTTATTTCTACACCCTTTCCAATTTTTACACACATAGAAAAGCTATTCTGTTATTTCCTTTTTTTTTTTTTTTTCCAAAGTATGACTGGGAAGCAGATTTAAGCATTTCACAAAAATTATGCTATGGAAATTAAAAAGTGTTTGTAGTGCAACAATACCGGAAACAGATATGATTGCTATTTCAACCCATTCATTGTAAAATGAAGCCAGAAACAAATTCCTAGACTGGCAAATGCTGTGATAAAATCTCAGGGATGTCTCTAATCACTAAGGTCAAGAATCTATGTGTACATGTCACACCCCTTATTTAGTTTGCTTTGACTTGTTTGATTTATATAGAAACCTAAATCCAGAGTAGGAAAAGTGATATGGTTTGAGAACATGACAGACACATCTGGACCTGAGAACCTGTAAGTTGCTCTGTGCCCAGTAATACAAAAATATGCAAAAAGCAGAGGTTAAAAAGTAAATCAACTGAGAATAGTTACATAAATTTTCTTTGTGAAGTTAATTGAAAAGAGGCTGAAAATATCCACAATTTTACAGACAGTAAATAAATAAATAAATACATTGCGATAAATGTGACCTGTGGAAGTCAAGCTCTCTAGTGAAGATAAAAATAAAAACTTTCTTTCCTAATATAAAATTAATTCATATAAGGTTCCTGGTGACCTGCACTCTGAGGAAGAGAACGATGTTAAGCATAAGTCAATGAAACATTTGTTTACGTGTCTCTAAATAACTTAGAAGCATATGGTAGATGGGATGCAAGATCTGGCCATTTAACTGCAAATATAGTGAAAATATGAATCTGTACTTGTGCACTCAGATCTGCTGCCTAAACAAAGGTGTCCAGTGACATCTTTTTTATGACACTGTCCCACATATACACACCATCTGGCTTCCCAGAGAGGACAGGTTTCCTGGAGCCTTGTGCCTCATCTGACAGAGCTGTGCAGGTCTCAGCTGTCACTGTACACATATATGCAGACAAGTTAATAAAGTCCCTAATCAGTATGGGTAATGGAGCTTTAGAGCTATTCAGCTGGCCAAATGAAAGTGCCTGGTTTAAGGTGACATGAGCAGCTTCCAAGGTAACATTGATCATACTGACTGAAGGCTTGATGTAGATTCACATTTACACTATCTGAGATACAGAGAATCTGAGAGATTTCAAACTGTATTGCTTTTCTAACTATGGGCAAGTTTAGGCTGAGTACAGTGATCCTGATGGGTCCTTTCCAGCTTGAAATGTTCTCTGATTCTATTACTTTATGAAACATAAGCAGTGTGAGTACATATCTACATAGAGAACTGTCAGTCTTGACAAATGCAATTGAACTACTGTGATTAAAACAGTAAGTAGAAGTGTAGGAAAAAAGTTTGCATCCTTCATTATACATATTTTTCCTCTAGGTTTTTTTTTCCCCTTTAATTCCCTCAATGCACATTAGAGTCCATTTTGTTCCCTGATAGTTTTAGTCAGGGCTTGATTCTGTTGTCATACCAAATTTTGTACATCATGAAGATGTTTGTAGGTGAACTGCTGGGCCTCTACATGCTCCTCCAAAAGGCAATGGTTGTTGTGTAATTTTGCCACACTGTGTGAGCACTTCAGGCACTTTGAGAGAACTCTGACTGCAACATACACTTTCCTTTAGGCAAGAAAATTAACCCCTAATATTTCACAATGAAAAAACAATTAAGTGTTTTGATAATGGCTCCAGTACACACAAATAGTGGTAATTATATGTAAAACACTAATTTAAACATAGTTTATGCATTAAAAATGCAAACAATGTTATTACTGGTACTTCTGGAGTAAGAAGACACAGTGAGTTAACAATCTGGTGACCTATTCTCACTTACACTCATCTGACACAGAATGCCATTGTACTCATGTCAGATTAATTTAAAATGAAACGCAATTTTTTCAGTGCTACTTCACACTGTGAAATGATGTAAATGAAAATTAAGCCTTGGATTTTCCCTACAGTGTATTTTGCTGAGTCCTGACTACAATTACACTCACAGAAATTCAGAAGAAGTTATGAGATTGCATCCAATAAGAATGCTACTCACTATTTCAAATCCTATTTTAAGGATCCTGTTAATTTCATGCTGTGTAGGCTAAATCATAGAGAATGATGCAGATTGGATTTTCACTTATCTAGTGGAATGTTTGAAGTTAAAAGTATGCTTAAGAATATTTTTTTCTTTAATTTTACTGCTTCAGACTGAAATGGTTGATTTCTCCCTCCTGACAAGAAAGTCAAATGACTATTTTTAGATATTTCAAAATAAAATCCTTGTAAACTATGCAAATTGGGTATCTACAAATCCAACAAAGAAATTCATGATCTAGCACCACATAATTGATGGAAGGGATCAGAGTGAGGCTTGAAAAGTATCACTCTATCTAGCCTTTTATAAAGCGGAAGAATTATTTTGGATTGTAAGTTTTATAATTTAGCATCTGAAAGATTTTTTCCTTGTGTTCTGCTAGTTTTTATAAGAGACTACCTAAAAATGGATGGCAAAAATGTTGTTTTAAGTAGAACAATTTTAAAAATAAATTTTAGAATTAGTTCATCAAGGATGCATAGAATTATTTATTGACTGTTCTATGGCAGGGAAAGGGAGGAGCAGGGTGTGTATTGAGAAAGAGGCAGAGATGTTGCAGGTTTCTTTCTGTCTTTTAATAAGAAGGATCCGACAACAAGATAAAATCTGTCTGTTAAGACAGAGTTAGAAAAGGAATACAGAGGAATATAGATAAGTAATATTACACACCTTGAAAAGCCATAGGAAGAACCCATGTGGGGAACATCCATGCAGCATCAGATGGTCACGGGATGGATATCCCCACTTCATGCTGTGTAGATCCTCAGATCCCTCAGCGGGATATTGTGTTACTTTCTTACCAGAAAAATTGTGTTTTCATACAGAACATCTTGCTGCAATTTTAGACAAAGGCAAGGCATAAGTGATGTAATTGCCAGGACCAAATGAGAGCTGTCTGGAGGCTCCTTTTTCCAAGTTAATCTGTAGATGAGAGTTTTGTGCAGCCCAACAGAGCCTGAAGACCACCTTGGACAAGCAGCACAGAGCAGCAGAGGCTTGCACCTACTCAGGTTAATTGATTAAAGGGATCACTGGTCCCTTTGCTTCCAGAAGTTTCCAGGACAAGATCGTTACGGCGACTGAACGTATTCTGGAAAGTAAGATCATCTGAAAAACTACAAGGTAATGAAATGCTTATCCTCTAGGGATGTTTAGCCTTTAGAGAGTTGTATGAAAAAGCCACAGAAGAAGCATGTTTTGTCAGTGTAACTGAAACTGAGTATCCCCCAAGGACAAATTCAGCGCAAGAATATAAAATGGAGAGTCGGGATCTTTCTGAAATGTTCCCTGCATAAATTCAGTTTGATTCACATGAGCTGTGAAAGGAGAACTCTTTAATAAGGAAATTTATTCTTATAGTCTTATGAAGTCAAATATAAAATGTCTGTTCTCGCCACTGCTATTCACCGTAATTGGATTATTTTCTGAATAGTTTGACTGAATACTGCAAGATCAACAAAGATGGCAGAATCTCATCCTAAATTTGAGTAAAAGTCCTATAATACAAGAGACATACATGTAAGAGTCAGTTTTATAATACAAAATCCAATAATTTATGCTTTCACCTGCACAATAAAAATTATAGGAAAATGGATAGAGTTTTACTAAATAAAAAGTACCAGTCTAACAATCTGAATGGGTGCTTAACTGTCACTGTGCTCCTTGTTATTTAGCAAGAAAATCTCAGTGATACATTAGCCATAAAATAAGGGTTGCTAAGAAACAAAGAAAAAAAATCTTTACAATAATGGAAGCTTACTTGTAACCACAAGAAAAGAAAGCTTAGGGGCTTAAAGAATAAGGAAAGGTAAAGAAAACTCCCTTTTCCTTAAAAAAATATACCTATTTAGATCTTACATCTCATCTTTTAAGTCAATCCTTGGTTTATGTCATTTCATTGCCAAAATGAGATTTCATTTCAAGTGCTGCTGAACATGGACTAGACATACACATTTTCTCCATTCTATTTAGAAGCAAGATTTCTACCCTGCTTATACAGATGGACACCCTCACATTTAAGTGAAGGCTTATTTTGCATTTCAGGTCTGTGGAGTAAACCCTTAGTGTTAGGCTTTTTTGGAGAATGAGAAAATCATTGATCAGATAGGCATTTTGTTGCTTTGTGATGCACCTATATGCTTCAACAAACGTAACTGCCTAAACTAGCTTCTCCAAACAGAATGAGGAAAAATGATGTTAAAATTTTCACTTTTATGATATGAACCATATTTTGCTTATAGAATTGAAGTTCAGTCCTGGAATTATGCTAGTCTAATGCTGAATGGTAAATTCACATATGACTTACTAAGCCATGGTTAAGCTGGGACAAGAGATCTCAGGAGTACAAAGTTTAAAGAGGTAGAAATATTAAATATATATGAGTTAATGTAATGAATTTTCCTTCACTGAATTTTTTTAATGGAACCTAATAGGCATAAAATCATTAGGGAATTGTTGAATGTAGAGTTTTAATGAAAGTCCTTTGAAACATATAGAACTGTATTAAGAAGTATGTCCATTAAAACTTCTTCTGTACTTTAAGATATGAAAATTTACCTTTTGATCTATTTGCTATAGTATGCATTTAGCTTTGAGTGTAGAAATCTATGGAAATAAACAAAAATAGGTGTCCAATTGAGGTATCCAAGTGAATCTATGTACTTCTCTGCATCTGAGAAAAATCTATGCACTTCTCTGCATCTGCTTTTTTAAATTTTGCTTCTAAATGGAGGTAAAGTATGACAATTATATATGACTAATGCATTGTGAGTTTAGTCCTCAAAGAATACATATGGAACAAAAAAACCTTTCTTTTTTTTTAAAGAAAAAGTCTTCTAGTTCATGAATTTCCTTATAGGTAGCTATTTATTTTCATTGTCTGGAGAGTTAGATAACATTATTTTTGTAAAAACAGAAGGGACTTTTAAGATTATCTAGCTTGAACACCTCTGTCATAGCCAGGGACACTTTGACAAGAAAAGGTTGCTCAAAGTCCCATCCAACATGGCCTTCAACCTATTCCAGTGTCTCCCCACCATCTCAATGAATAAATTATTCCTAATTGTAAATCTAAACCGGCTCCCTTTCAGTTTAAAACTATTCCCTCTTGTCCTGTCACTGCATACGTGTGTAAAAAGTCTCTCTCCAGCTTTCTTTCTCCTTAGAAGGCTGCTAGAAGGTCTCCTTGGAGCCTTCTCTTCTCCATGCTGAACAACCTTAACTCTCAGCCTGTCTTCATAGGAGAGGTTCTCCAGCCCTCTGATCATCTTTATGGTCTCCTCTGGACTTGTCCCAACAGGTCCATGTCCTTCATATGCTGATGCCCCAAGCAGGCGACAGCTGGACAGGAGTAGAAAAGAGGGAGAGAGTCATGTCCTTCAAACAGGCAGTAGAAGCTGAAGAGCATTTTTACCCTGCTAAAATTTGGCATACAGATCTGGTCAGCAGAACAGGTCTCCACTCTCGACTGACTATATTAGCTTAAATAAATGAGGCAAGCTAGCTTAGGGTGATCACAAATTGAATGGCTTCCATCCTTAGAAAACTGAAATACAACTTCCTATTTTCAGCTCAATAAGACTTTAAAGCCTATATGTTGATTCCTTTTTCTAGTGATTAAGTTATTTTGTGCAACAGATTAGGTTGCACAAAAATAGAAAATAGAGCCAAATTACTGCACTTCCAATAAATGCAGTTTCCTGTTTCTAAATTGATAATGTAATATAATTTGCAAGCTGTGGGGGAAGATTGACTTTGGGTATGGTTTGTTTTGTTGGTTTTTTAAGCAATGTAGCAGTGTTACTACTGCCACTGGCCTCACAATATTCATATTTTCCTACTCGTGTGAGGAAATTAAATAATTTGATTTCAGAAAATACACAAGGTTTATACCAGGCTTCTCTCATACTCCAAAAGCACTTAAATATCAGCTTTGCTGTCATGATGAGAATGTTATTATTGTACCATCTGGGACAACACACATGCATAGTATTAGTCATTTTTAGGTATATAATCTAAACAAAAACTCTGCCTATTCAAGTTGATGACAATAAAGATTATCACCTTTATAAAGGTCAATTTAGAACATATGTTTAGCTTAGAACATATGTTTTATTTTTGGTAGTGGTAAAATTCCTGCTCAAAGTTTTTTATTCTTTTCCCCCCCCACTTCTACAGAACTCAGATTATGTCAGCTCACTAAAGTAATTTTCAGGACTTCTTCTGGCTTGAAATAGTAGAGGATCTCTACTGATATCTACTTGTGCAGCTCACATATATCTGCAGAAACCAGGACTACCCATCCTGAATGTGAAACTTTACATAGACTTGAAAGGGGGTTAATGTGGTACAAATACTGCTTCAAAAAGAAAAAACATTAAATGTTGAGATTCAATTGATTTTTAAAATGTAAAGTTATATAAACTGTAAAATAGTATTTTATACTATTTTACCCAGAATTTGCATGCGAGGGCCAGACACTTGAGCTGTTTCAAAGTTCATAGACAAAAAAAGCTGCTACTGAAATTGCACAAATACTCTGTTATTTTGTTTGAGATAAGAGGGTTGTCAGTGTAAAGATTGTATCACAGTTCAAAATAGCTTGTCTAATATGGAGTTCAGATGCAGAAGTGTTGCAATCCTATAGTCTTGGCCTCATTTAAGACCTTTACTGCTTGAACTGTAATCTCAAACTGAAGAAGTTATGTACAAGAATCCATTTCTTTGTTGAAGTAAAGCATGTACTAACAAGTCTATTTGTCTTTCTGTTGACAGCTTGCATAGTCCTGCACAGTATTATGATAATTTCTCACTAACTGAACTAACGAGACTGAAGGTATTGTTTTCAGTAGTTAGCCTACAGTAAAATATCAGAATAAGGGAACTACAAAATTATCTAAATTGGAAAGGATGTCAAGAAGTCTCTAATACAATTTTGTTTTAAATGGAGGTCAACATTGATTTCATATCAAGTTTTTTTAAGTCTTTATTCAGCTGAGTCTTGAAGACCTTCAAGGCCAGCATCATAAATGCTCTTCATCCACTCATGGAACATCAATTCCTCTTGTTAATTTTCCCAGGTTGTGTGAGTTTGTGCACATGAATTTCAGGTAGGTCAACTTCTAATGTTCTTTATCCTTCACAAGACCTCCTTTACACCCATCACCCTGCCCTATGTATTGTCTTACCTTTCTTCACTTAACTGAAAGCTCTTCTCACCGTCTGATGATATGTGTGATACATAGTCCTCATCATCACTCTGGGAAGTCCTGTTTTCAAGAAGATTCATCTGCACTTGGTGAAGTAGATCTCATGTCTTGCTAGCAGTTCTTATTCCTTAAAAATCTCTGTCATAAAAAAAATCAAAGCACTGCTTGCAACAATGCCATTAGTCATCTTGTTATTTCAGTATACTTCAGGAACCTCTGCCTGAGGCTTTCCTATCATCTGTGGGACCAAGGGGAATACCATCTTTGTCCTCATCTCTCTGTACTCACTTCTGATTCTTCCGGGTTTCCTTAGCAGTATTAATGGTGAGCACATGGATAAGCAAAAATCTGAAGGCCACATGAGACTCGTCATCCTCTATGCCATATTCTGGATCCAAGCTCCATCAAAGAATTAATCTCCTGTGGCAGTAGTCCTGGTTGGCAGGTGGGTGCTTTTATCTCTTGCAAAACAGAGTCTCAAAACACCATTGCCAGCTGCTACCTCTCGGCACTAAATCTTGATTCAGGCCCATCTGGCTCTGAAATCTATTTCCATGAAATTCCTTCTCTTTCCTTGGTTATTAGTGCAATGAATGCATTGTGTAAATTCAGATCTGGAAGCCAAGAAGCCTTTCTCCTGCTGACAGAGAGCACAAGTCTCCACCCATCTTTACCTTGGGAATACCATCCACTGTTATTATTGCATAATCTTTCATTGTCCCTTTTATTTTTCATTCTGTAGCTCAACATCCTGTCTCTGCAGTCTCTGTGATGATGATACAAACCTCCTACTCATCCTCCCTGATATTTCAGTCTGATTGCCTTCCCTCACAAGTGGGGCCACCATTGCTGTCACTCTGCTCTGCTCCAGATAAAGCAACAGATGTGAGCCCTGGGAGGTAGCATCCTCCATTTGCAGATGTGTGGGCCCCATGAGCTCCAACGTGCCAGGGTTCTTACTCCAGCTGAAGCTGGACACTGACCATGGTGAGGACACCACCATTGCCATGCAGTCCCACTCTCTGGAGGAGAATTCCTGGACCTCCTTTGCACCCACTGCAAGAAAAGTGTCCCACAAACAGCCAAAATGCCTGTAAGCTTACTTATCTTGTTGGACATTGTGGTCTGACTCACCAGCTCAGCTGAACAGACATTCCCACTGCAGAGGAACAGGAGGTCACTCATCAGAAGGCAGTTGCTTGGCAAACAAGTTAAAACCAGTTTGTTTTAGCAAAAAAAAAAAAAAAAAAAAAAAAAAAACACAAAAAAACCACAGAGGGAGCAGTGTTCTGGGATTTGCATATTTTGGAATGAAATTAACTAGGGAACTTTCTTAATTGCCTTTTTTTTTTTCCCATTCTTTATCTTAACTTCAGAAAAAGTTGAGCATTTATAACAAAAATACTATGATCATAAAAATAGTAATAATTACAAATTTGATTAAATATCAGGAGCAACATCTGGAGTTCACAAAAGCAGAAGCCTTGAATATTCTAAAGGATATGGAAATGAGATTTGAGGACTTCAAGGGAGCTTTTTTCCTCCATCAGTTTTATAGGATTATTTTTGGCACAGTTTCAACTGATGACTGGAATAAATCTTCCTGCCAGCATACAATTTTCTGAAAAACTAATTATTCTTCTGGTTGATCATAGGTGAGGTGGGTAGAGATATCTATTTTTAATGTTCCTGAAATCTCAGTTTTATGACCCTGTTTTACACTGCTTACAATTTTGCCAGGTTTCAAACATTTGGAATTAAATAGCTATGTATGAAGTCTCCTGATTAAATACTCTTCAAACACTTTTTCAGAATCTGGTGGAAGAAGTGAGGGACTAGTAGGTTGCGCCCCACGCCCCCCAAACTCTCAAGAAGCTCCAACACTTTCTGTCATCTTTAGAGGCGTGACTGTCTTCCTGTTTAATTTCCCAAGGTGCTCAACTTGCTTTTCATTGCTCACTTAATACCATCAAATTATAAGAACTAGACAAATTCTTTTTTATTAGGATTTTTTTTTTTCAGAATTCTATGATTTTCAATTCTGAAATTGTTAACTCCTTTGGACATCTGGTACTTTTCAAGTGGCCTGTGAATACACCTTTCCCTGAGAAGGATTGAGCACTCGTTAACCAAGTAATTTAAGCAGTGAGGAACATTTTCCTTAAACCATTCATTCTGACTGAAACATTTAAATTAGGAAGTTTGGAGGATTTTGGAGTGCTCTTTGTGCTTTCTTTATTAACAATCAGAGCCAAAAAAAAAAAAAAAAAAAGAATGATAAACCTCCTCAAATAAACACAAAGAATAAGGAAGAAGTGAGATAGGTGTTACAGAATTCAGAAGTTTAACTGGAGAACTGAAATTTTAAATTCACTGAATTTTATTTTCTATGGTATAGATGTATTGCTTTTTATCTTATTTTGATACAGCTGAATATTGAAACATGTATTTCTGGAAAGGTTGCTGAAAATACTTTGCTGCTTTAAACAACACAAAGCAAATAAAAAGCAAACTTAAAAAGACCCTGTTCAGTGTGGTTTAGGGTATGTGTGTCTTCTATTTGCCTTTGAGAACCTAACATGATATGCAGAATTTATGTGTGTATAGATATTTATATTTTCATTGTTGAAATTAAAAGGTTTGACATTTCTTATGTTTGATTTGGTATAAACACAGGGTTTATACACTGTAAATACACAAATATTGGTAACTTCTTCACAAAAGGAGGTGTAAACAAGAAAAATATAAGTTGCCTTTTATTTAGTGTTTCCAGTAATGCTAAGATTCTTTTAGGTAAGTCAAGTAAAGTGATGTGTAGCTTCTACAACCTTCAGCATAATCTTATCAGTGTAATATTAGTAACATTAATCAAGGAGATATCTGAAAAGAAAAAAAAAATTTTCCTCTTCTATTCTAAGTAATGTATGGACTTACCTCCAGATGGTATCAGGCAAAGCACTTTTGGCTATCTTCTAAATTACATAATTCAAAACTACTGTTTTGTGCAGAGTAGGAATTCTGTCCTTGACAGACTATAACTCATGAACTCTTGCTTCTGAAGGAAAACAGAATGCTGCTCAGGAAACCATTATTCATTTTACCTAGGTTTTCTCAAAGGGAACATATAGTTTAATGAGATTTGAAATGACTGTGCCTTGATAATTGTTTTGTGACTTCAAGATTTAGAAGGTTAAATCATATTATCAATATTACAGTTTTAAAGGGTTAAAACTGAAGGAATTTTTTTTGAGGTTATCTATCAAAAAGGATACAGTTAGAGCACTATGATATGCTAGATACTACTTCCGTACCTGGAACACCTGTGCCAGTCAGACCAGAATGATATTTTTTTTTCCTTTCTTTTTCATGCATATAAAAATATTGTGTCAACTATATGTTCTTAAGTGTAAAAATGTACAAAAGACCAACCGCTTCTGAAAAGAACAAGAAGTTTGAATATGAGCACATCTGACTGCCTTTCTTTTTGAACCCTGAGAGTACTTTCCATTCATATTGTCAAATTTAACAAGAGGCAATAAATATTAAATTTTTATTTAACAGACTGAAATAAGGTTTATGTTTAACCTGCTGTGTTCTGTTCTTTGAACTGTAAAAGCTCATATCTTCCAGGTGAGATGTGACAGCAAAGTTCACCATGTTCAATAAAGACCAAATTGGTCTATTGTCAAGAGACAAAGTTCCAGACTGAGTGGGGTCAAAGTTTTCTGGGGGTCAGTAATATAGATTATGGCTAATGCTCTTTTGATGTCTTTGAGACCCTGCTTGTCTTCTCCTGAAATCCATCGAAGAACCGTGACTGACATGCTGAAGCCTTGAGCTCTTAGATTTTTCTCCATTTTGTGAAGTAGGCAATAGCTTAATAAAAAAGGTCAATCACACACATTTTACTCATGCAGCCAGTGATTTTACCAGAGGATGCAATTATCTAAATAGCAAGGATTTCTCAGATGAGTAATGTCTTGAAGCATCAGATGCTACATTGTAAAATATCTAATGATTTCTAAGGATAAAACAATTGCCAAAAACAGCTTCATCAGAGCATTCTTTCTATAAACAAATGCATTTATAATTTATAAATATAAACTATGCCTTTGAAGCAGTAGCAACTGAAAAATTGGTATTAACAATTAATTACAAGTGCTGTTCTTTGTCTAAAAATTTGTTGAAAATAAAACCAAATTTGCCATCTTTGATTTTTATTTCTCAAGCCATTTTTTAAATTAATGATCATTGATTTCTTTTAAGTTGACTAGTGAAAGAAATACTTCAATACTGCAGTAATGTATATTTACTGTAGATAAAGTGCTAATAAGTTCATGTACATCTGTTTTCTGCAACATTTATTCCCTACTATTGAGAAAAGAGGGATTTGGTGTGCTTGAACCGTGGTCAGCAGTAATGCCCTATGAGCCACTCACTCACACCCCCACCAGCAGGACTGGGGAGAGATAAAAGGGTAAAACTGGAAGGGTAAAAACACAGTTTATAGTCTCTTTGAATGGTTGACCTTTTTGAAAAATACATTTCAGGTTAATCAGATAAACCCATTCAAAGAGCCTAATCATTCAAATTTAAACATATCTTGAATATAATTTTCTGCTTAATTCCAAAAGTAAAATATAAAATACAGTGTAGTTATACTGTTGCTTGCTATTTCACATAAATTTTTGTAGCACAAGATAATGAGAACAAAGCAGACACAATAAAAATAAAAAACTGTGCGTTGATGCTCAGCATTTTCTATTGCATCTTTCAAGTCATTGAAATGTGATGGTGAATGTTCTATTAAGGTCATATACAGAAAAGACAAACTAAGCAGTAAACGTGTTTACTTAATGAAATAATAAATCATAAAACCAGTGTAAAAAAGATTTTTATCCACATTTTATAGGAAGACCATTAAGAGTCACGAATGAATGTGTTACTAGGCAAAAACAAGAGTCTTTGAAAATAAAAGTAGGAAATAAATTTATGATAGATTTCCAAGGTAATTTGCATTGGATATGTATCAGACCACTATCAGTACCACAGTATCAGACCACTTATTAGTATAAAATTAACATTAATCACATTCAAAGATAGAATCACATCTGTGTTGAAGAAACCAAAAAAAAATAATAGGTATTGTATGGAATATAATTCTTGATATGGTATAAATTTATGTTGGTATTTATTGATAGGAGCTGATCTGGCATGTTCCAGCTTGTGGTGATCTCTTGAAGTAAGTAGTAAGAAATTTGAATGGACACTTGTTCTTTGTAAAATGTAGGATTTTGGTCATGTCCTAGAATAACGGTTTTATTATGTTATGTAAATTTGATTTAAAAGTTCAAGAACATAATTAAATATAAGCTGTTTAGAATGGCTTCATGAAGTATAGCCTATGAGACACAAATACTAATGACATTACTGATGCTCCCTGCCAATCCAAGTAAAAATACATTCTCTTGAGTATCTTCTTTTAATGAAAAAAACTAAACTGTACACTAATTTAGATATGGAAGCTTTCTGTATTTAATTAAGTAATCATATCTCATTTTTACGACCTGACAGCACAAACAGAAAAAAAAAACAAAATAGAAACATGAAAAAAAATATTGTATCAGGCTCATACCTTCAGAAAAAAACTCTCCAATTTCTACTCCATTTTATCAGACCTGAAGCATAATGTAAATGTTTAATTTAATTATTTTCCTAACTGAGGTAATATTATTCAGTTTTTAAGGTAAAGCAGATACTTCCTTCTGTTGTGGTGTGTTTTTAAGTTTTTCAGTTTGCTCCCCCATTTTATGTATTGTATTCCCCCCGTTCTCTGTAAATGGTTCCTCCTTCCCCAGTTTTCCCGCCACTGCTCCCCTTGCAGTTGGTCTCCGTAGCAACCCCTGCTTTCAGTCAGTTGTGTTATATAATTCCTCCTCCCCTATTCTCCCTTATAAGTAAATGTTTTCTCCTCCCTGGGCCCAGTCAATCACCCCCCTCTCCTCCTAGCTTTCGAGAACCTTCTTCTCTCTGGGGGTTGTGGTTGGCTGTGGTCCCAGGGCCCCTCCTTTACCTTGTATCCATTGGGTGCTTATGTATGACAATTATGTTTAACACCTCCCTTTGAGTTTCCCTATTGGATAGCTGGGCTTCCCTCCCTTCTCCTCCCCTTTCCTTTAAAACCCGGTCTCTCCCCTTGTTCGAGGACATTTTGCTGGCTGGTGCCTACCCTTGTTGGTGCCTCCAGACCATCAAATAAACCGACGTGTCACCCCCAGCAAGTGGTCGCCTCCTCATTCGTCTCCTCTAGCGCAACTCCGAGCTCAACATCCAGCCCAGCCTGAGGCCAGAGACGCCGAAGGGGGTTGGCGGTTTATGCGTAGGGGCGTCGGCCATTCCTACCCCTTCAGCTAGCCGGACCTAGGGCCGCCTATGCCCTCGCGCATCCTTCAGTCCTAAATAAGAAGCATACCAAGGAAATCTAATCGAAGCTTCTTATGATTCTCAAGATCAGGCCTCCAATATAGTATAACTCAAGAAACATTGTTACTGTTAGTGGTCCCATGAAAAATAGCACTGCCATTGCCCATGACAGAACACAGCCCTTGTGTTGGTTATGCCTAGTTGGTTATGACTGTGCAAGGCGCTGGTCCTGGCCAGCTGTTATCAATTTACCCTGGGAACCCACTGTGGGAGCTTGGTATGAAGTTTCTCTTTCGATAATGTGCAGCTTAAGTGTGGGGTAATAGAAAAGGCTTTGGTAATATGACGCAGATCAAAAGCAGAGGTTCCAGAGGCATAAAGAGCTCAGTGACAGTCAAGTGTGGGTCATTGAAGAGGCTCAATGGAAAGAGATGGGATAAAACAGCTTTTACTTTAAGGAAAGGAACATCAATTAAGTAAGGGGAAAGGAATGTGAAATAAAAAAAAACCACAGGTGAAGGAATGGGATAAGGCAACTATTAGGAATGGCAAAGCAGCTGCCATGTCACCTACCAAACATGGTGCCAAAGGCTGGCATTTGCCAAGGAAATGAGCTGTCTAATAAAGGAGAAGATCCCAAACTGAGGCATGAGGTCAAAAAATTCACACACGCTGTTCCTCTGCAGTCTCTCCTTAAAGGATTTTTCAGCCTGATCAGGTCAATGATTAAGACCATCAAGGACCATTGCAATCAGGAGGTTGTGGCACCAGCAGTGAATAGTGGACATTCAAAGACAGTGTAAGATAAACTTCTAAAGGATTTATGACTTAAAATACAAAAATGTTCAAACTACATTTTGGTAGTGTGTGTTGTTAGTCAATGTTAGTCTTGCAAAATTATGTTTGGAAGTCTGAAACTGGTTTGATTTATCACTTCTTAATATTCCCTTCACAACGATCTCTGATTCACACAGATACACACTCAGTATCTGAAACAGTTATACCTATAATTGATCATGTTTGCAATTATCTTCTTTTTTATACATTTTGGGTCAACACCTAATTGGTAGTTTTGGATAGTATTTTATGTTCAGGATCT